TGTTGGAGAGTCGTTTTTGCCTACGGAGAGTTAATCTAATATGACATTTCTTCTAAACTACTAACACTCAGCTGATATATTATTTGAAACGTCGGGAGGGTAAATATCTTGTTTACCGTTAAAAAAGATATTGTTGCAATAAATCCCGTGAAGTGATAACTTAGCTGATAATATGGAAAACTTATTTAATTGGGTACAAGAGTCAGTCACCCCTTTTTAATATAACCGGGGTTTTTACATTACATCAAAGAATTCTAGTTTACTTAGGTATGTGCATACACAGATGACGTTGCACAATTGATGGGTTAATTGCTTAAAAGAAAATTACGTCAAAAAAACTAACAATTTGGAATGTTCCGTACAACCATCGTTTTGTAGATCGGATCCATTTAATCCATATAATTGATCTAGCGATGTAATTAAACATTGTTTAATTGGATCTCTGTCGCAAACTAATTAGTTGTTTTTTGTTGATCACACTCAATTAGCCGGCAGATTGTTTTAAGTCATAACTAAATGGGCTCTTCGGTTCGTTCAGTAGAAGGTACTTTTATTGTGAATAGGAAACCATTGTGCATTTAATCGCGGTATCAAATAGGTAAGAAATTTTGCGGTCGGCTCTACTAAAAATGATGTCCCAGGATATCCTGAGAGAGAGACGTTTTCGAGACGCTTATACTGTATTTTCCCTTTTTGTTTTAATCTAAGATTGAAATTAATTTCAATACTATCTCTCGTCTCTTTCATTACTCAACAAATTATAGTTATAATTATTCTACATATTAAATAAAATGTCCAAGCATAGGTAGTTATAAATAATAGTTACACTACATTTAAAACAGTCTTTGTGAGCTAACCGTTTTATTTATTTTTTTTAAGTAAGGTATTTATTTTTGTTAATTTCATCAGATCTTTTTGCTGCCTCTTTCTAAGCCTTTGTTTGCACAAAGGCGTATCTGAAAGGTTACGAGTTACGATTACTCGTAACTTTTGAGATACGCCTCTAAATTTTAATTCAAAAACCGGCCAAGTGCGAGTCGGGCTCGCGCACAAAGGGTTCCGTAGCAGCAACAGTTAAATCAACCTATCTCAAAAACTATAAGAGATACTTTGATCAAACCAAAAATCGTTGAAAGAGTTAATTAGCATGCATCACCTCTATTTTTTTTAGAATTTTATACCCCGTAGTTATAAAAATAGAGGGGGGGGGACATACTTTTTACGACTTTGAGAGCTGATATCTCAAAAACCGTTCACTTTAAGAAAAATGTTTTTTAGAAAACTTTATATCATTTTAAAAGACCTTTCCATTGATACCCCACACGGGTATGTACATCGAAAAAAAATTTTCATCCCTCAGTTACATGTATGGGGGGCCCCACCCCCAATTCTTTTTTTTACTATTTAGTGTCATAATTTTGTAGCGGTTCATACAACACATATTCCCATCAAATTTCATCACTGTAGTACTTATAGTTTCCGAGTAAATCGGCTGTGACAGACGGACAGACGGACAGACGGACATGACAAAACTATAAGGGTTCCGTTTTTGCCATTTTGGCTACGGAACCCTAAAAAGGAGTTTAATTCTTGAGTTCAATTACCTGCACCAGTATGTAAAAATAACCTTGTTTATTTTATCAAATAAAATTAGGGTCAATGTATTTTACAATGTTTTCACAGAAATAAAGAGTTATTTCGTTGGAAACGTTAGGTCTAAACGAGTTTGAAGCACGCAAAAAATAAGCTACGCAGTGCGTTAAATAAGTGGAACTTACAATTAACGACTTTTGTACGTTGTGCATAAATGCTTAATCTTTGTTTAAAAATTAGTTTTCTTTTATTTATCTGGTTAAAATTTAGAAAACATGTTGCAGAAAGTAATGCTTCAGATGTTGGTTACAATTTTAAATGGCCTTTAACGGTTTAAATATAAAAAAAAAGCCAAAACCAACGCTTCTGCTTCTGCTTCGGCAGAAATACCGTAATTAGAGCTATTATTAATTAGAATAATTACCGGTAGTAGTAATTAGAGTCCTATCTCTAATTAGGCACCTACTGAGTTGCCAATTTAAACTGCTGACTAAATAATTAGGCCACACTTACCTTATAAATGAAGGTCATAGGATTTTAATCAGTTGCACAAAATAGAGATATCAAAGAACGTTCTCACTAAACATAATTAAAAAATATTTAATTGATATCTGTTGACTACGAATGAATGTTCAAAAAACATTGTTTAAATTAACAAAAACTTATAAAATAAGAAGGGCGTAGCGTGTTTTTTTTGTTCACCCAGTATAATTTAATTTGATACTTACTAACTAAAATAAATAATACAATACTCATCACATACAGATATTCAGTATAGATAAAGATGAGCAAACCAATCGCATGGTGTAAACACCATGGAAGCATTAGTGCGCGACCAAACGTCCGTCGTTGTAAAGTTGACAGCTCATCAAACATACATTTTTATTGCAAAATCGCACTTATTACACGTAACTTAAGATGCCACAGTGTTAATATTGATGTGCTGTTGTCTACTTACGCAGTCCTTTAAGTAAACAATAACGCCTTTTTAGGAACCCAAGTGTAACTTACGAGTAAGCTTGCAATTTTATTGTGTCGTACGGTAGAGTTTTTATGACTAACTGTTGAGGCAAGAAAACGTGTGTTCATCAATAGGTTATTGTAGTTTTATTAGCATCTAGTAGTAATATTTGTAAATAATTCATACCGCATGGAGCAGGATATCATAAGTCAAAATATGCTATTCTTGGGTTCATATGCTATTCGGTTCACAAACGATGCTTGCTTAAGGCTGACATGCACCAACTTAATTTAACTTTGTCAAACGTTAAAATCTGTCAAACTCAATACAAAAAGCACCAGTTATTGTCAATGTTACGGTTAAAATAAGGTGGTGCAACTCAGCCTAAGTGAAGCAGTAAATTGAACGCAGCGTTGAATAGAGCTCTGTGATTGGTTTGTATGTCACCCTGTGCGTTCCCGCGCACTGTGAGACCTCATAGTAATGTTTGTAAATACGGGCGTAAGAATGTGTTCCGATTTTCAACCCTATAATGAATACACTTTTTTACTGGAATATAGATTTCTAAAAACAAAGATAATCTAAAATAGTTCTTACTCGTATCGTTCGTGCGCTAATCCCCTAGTAATGAGTAGAAAAAATAATGATAGCAAAAACCATAGAAGTGATAAACATTGATACGGCAAGGTGAAATTTCTTCGCAAAAACGTCTTGGTTAATGTACTTTTTACTAGACCTTTTTCAAAGTAATGGGCTATGTTGATCTGCTACATCGATATTACATGTTAATTCAAAGATTATGAGCGGATCTAATTGTATGTTAAGACATTACGGAACGAAGACTTGCTTGAATATAGAGCTGGCTAACCCGGTTGGTTTTTTGATTGGAAATACCACAATGAATAAAATTTTCCTAAATCTGAATAGAAATGACGTAAGTTATAAAGAACAAACATACAACCAAATCTAAATCGATACGTTAGCGCCGCATTTTCGCCGAATTTCAAATTTCCTCCTCCTTTTTGATGGTCGTTTAAAATGTAGATATGAATCCTATTACCCTTTTAGTTTTTTTTTTTTTTTTTTTTTTTTTTTGCTAGCCAAGGCAGGTATTTGACCGCAATCGCACCTGGTGTTAAGTGAGATGCAGTCTAGGATGGTACATATCTGCCCTGTAAGTGCCTATTCACTCTCGCCTTGAAAACGCCCGGATTATAGTGTGTGTGTTAGTAGTTGTTGCCTAATCAAATAAAACTTCACATGTCATTGCAAACGGGGTGATAATAATCGACAAAACAGATACAGAACATACGTGTACTCTTCGTTATTTACCACTAGATATTTTCTAGAATGTTTTTTTGTTCCGTCGCAGTATGTCATGACGCTGCGTTGGAACAGTTTACACTACGCTATGCGTCCCAATTAACCATTTATCTCGTGGTTGCCACCATATTATGTCTTTTATTTATCTCAAAATATGGTATAAAATCAGTAAATATTTGTGAGAGACAGCGTCAAAAACTCGTATAATTGTGATGGAATATGTTCTACTAGGCTCGGATTGGTTTAGGAATCTGTATTTGACTTGAAACCCTTTCTCAATTTTTTTTCGTTCTAGTTATCCTTCTTTAAAATTCTCTTAACTCAATTTCTAAAGTAAACATTCTGGACTAACGTATTATGCTGCGATTAATAAAATTGATCCGATAAATTCTAGGATTTTATTATCCAACCCATTGACTTTCCTTTATTAACTTTAATAATTGTGATGAAAGCAAGCGGATGTTTGCATATTGCAATTTAGATGGGGAAATGCGATATAATGTGTAATTGTGCTTGACGCATGATCGCCGCAGGGCAGCACACTGGGGCCACTGTTGTAATATGTAGCCAAATGTACTGTTTTTGTAATTATCTTTATCTTTACGGGTGTACCTTCGTGTTATATTCCGCGTAGTACATTGTTAATTGAGTGGACTAATCAGTGGCTAGATCTGTTTAACGTATTAGCGATTAGTGATACAAATAATTGAAGGGCGCTGAGGAAATGGTTAGAACATTTATAATTTTTTATTGCTCTGATAACAAAGTTATTAGAATGTTAGTGATAGTGGAGTTAAAAGCAGAAAAATACAGTCTTATCTAATGAATTCAAGTTTGTAGCGAGAATAGAGTTTCAAGTGGTATAATAGTTATTTTTATGAGCAACACATGTCTAGGTCAACAGGCAACAAATAAGGCTTATCTTCGTATCCAACCTATTTATTTAAATTCCCAATAAGGTATGAGTAAATATGAGTCTTAGATTGCAATGTGAATAGGTGTTAAAACGGTAAAAGGATAGGTATATTTGTTTTTCAATATTATACATTGAAGATTGTTGTAAAATATTGCCAATTTCTACTGACCTCGACAACAGAATTAACCAAATTTTCCTTTCGCACAGATTCACATAAATCATCATGGGAGTATCAGAGCCTGGTTCCTCCAGCACTCCTGACCTGCCTCCCATGGACTCCGAACGTCCTGGGTCTGGCAGCGGGATCGACGACGAGGATATCCCTCGTAGGAAGCAGAGGAGGTACCGGACCACCTTCACCAGCTACCAGCTGGATGAACTTGAGAAGGCTTTTGGGAGGACGCATTACCCTGACGTGTTTACCAGGTGAGGCATTTTTCTTTTTGTTTAAAATAGAGTAGTAGGTTCACCACAATAGTCTTACGGACGACCCTCGAATTGGCAGTCCGATGTTGATGCCGCTGGGTTATTGACATCTTAATAATTAACTTTTTAAAAAAATAAAACCGACTTCAAATGCGTGAACACAAAAAAAAACTAAAAATTGAAAATATTGGGTATAAAAAGTTCATCCCCAATTTTCCACCCTTGGGGGTGAAATATTTTCTTCAAATTCGCATGAAACCACCCTTTTGATAATACCTATTCAACAAAAAAATAATCGTTTAAATTGATTTATAATCGGCGGAGATATTGCGTATAAAAAAGTTCATCCCCAATTTTCCACCCTTGGGGGTTGTTTTTTCTATTATTAAATTTAAATGGGACCACCCTTGAGGTATTACCTATACGCAGAAAAAAGATTTGTTCAAATCGGTTCATAATTGGCGGAGTTATCGCGTAACAAACATAGAAAAAAAAAACATACGGGTCGAATTGAGAACCTCCTCCTTTTTTGAAGTCGGTTGAAAATTGACGTCATGTCTATAAAGCAGTAAAAATATTTTTTATTTTGGGACTTTTAAGATCTTTTGAAAAGGAAGTGAGAATAAAGTCGATAAACATTTGGGGTGTTTCTAAGTTTGGTGAAGTGATAGGTGGTTAAAACTTTTTTTTATTAATAAATAATACAAATTAACGCAATTTCTTTTCCATAATGTCAAAATACTTTTAATTCCTCAATTTTTTCTAAGCTAATGGCCTCTCTTATAAAATTTTCTAAGATTCTACAACTGTGTATCTTCTCTTTAAGTTACCACCTGCCCCTATCACTTCACTGGATCCCAGAACTTACCCCAATGGAACCTAACTCTTCACCATCACCGCCCAGCAGAGGGCTTGATGATGAAGACTTGCCTCAGAGAAAGCAAAGAAGGTGTAGAACAACCTTCTCGACTTGCCAACTCAATAAGTTGGAGAGAGCTTTCTTGAGGACGCAATACCCTGATGTTTTTATGAGGTGAGAACTAGGGACATTACATTTTCTAGGAAAAACAGACATTTTAGTTCTTGTTTTTCTATTTTACCTCTATGTTAACGTTTCTAAACTCAAAACTCGTCCTTAGTACCCTATAATATAGAGTTAGTTCAAGGGCGTTTCAAGCACGATTTCCGAGTATCCACATAACTTACGAAAATGTTTGGGAAAATGTCTGTGGCGCAGTAAAAGAAAGAAAAGAAAGAAAGAAAGAAAATAACTTTATTTTGGCAACAACAGATTCAGGCAACAAAGACAATATACACAAATTAAATTAACTAAGTTGCCAAAAAAGGTCACCCACTCAGTAACATCTTGATAGGTGTGACTGCCAAGACACTGATTTTCAGTGGGTGCCTTTTGCAGTGCAGTGCGTTATCTTCTTCATAAAATACTTAAATACTATATTATTTATGTATATCTTTCAAAACTGGTTTAGTCCTATTTGTTCTACCTCAAGATATTCGTAGGAATTCCGACTGCCTATCAGCCAAGGTTTTCAGGTCATCAACCTACTTAGCAGGGGGTCGCCTCGCTTTATCTACGGCTTGTAAACAATGGTCAAATTGGTTTAATAAGTATAGTTGTTCTTGCCGACTTGTACAGACTACAGCACATCGAGCTAATCACTGAAGTCTCTTATTTAGCTGTAATAGTGGCGAAATTGCAACAAAAATGTAGAGTCTGATGTGCTACCGCTGTACTATAAGATTTCCTTTCATTATAAGTATGTTGCTAGGTACAGTCAGCGTCAAAAAGTTCGCAATACCCAAAGTGGCCAAAAAGTGGACAATGCAACCTTATTCTATTTGTACCAAAGACATGTTGCTAACATTTGGGAAATATGGGTTTCACAAACTATCTGACGCTGTATCGTGTGCTTGCCATGAGTTCTCGTGGTAAGTATGCTAGCTAGGGCGTCAGAAAAATCTATAAAGATTTTAGTTCTTGAAAGTCGCCCCTAGGGACGATGTACAATCTGTCATACATTTAATGTCATTTTTTACGTAGTCGCTAGCAAGCACACCTAACTAACGTAAACTCATGGTAAACAAACGTTCTATTTCTACGATATAAACCATTTAAATTTTAATTCCTTTGTTACAGAGAAGAACTCGCCTTGAAAATTGGTCTCACCGAAGCTAGGATTCAGGTAAGCAACATATATTACACAGACACGCCCGTATTCACAAACATTACTATGAGGTTTCACAGTGCGCGTGGACGCACAGGGTCACACACGAACCAGTCACAGAGCTCTATTCAACGCTGTGTTCTATTTGCTGCTTCACTTAAGCAAGCATCAGTTGTGAATACGGGTGTGGCATATTACTTAAAGCTGTCTTACTTAAGTGCCCAGTCATAATAGTGTCAACTTGCAATAAATACTGCATTAAACGACTCTGTCTTTTACAGTTGACAGACAAATAAACTATATGACTCGCTAAACTATTGATTTCCTGTAGGTTCTGTATAATAATATAATAAAAAAATATTTCTGCATTTGTATTCGAATATTACTCAACGGTATTTTTAAAATTGTCAAGATATCGCCGATAGCGCCCCCACATGCGAGCGAATTATGTGAAATTAGTTTTTAATCAAATCAAAATCAAAATCAAATCAAAATCAAAAAATATTTATTCAGTCTAGACCACAAGTGGCACTTATGAACGTCAATAAAAAATAATAAAAAAAGAAAAAGGTAGCCCTTATGGGGCACTTTACATGTCTCCTTATCTTTTGGGCCCTACCAGCGCTTCGAGACAAACATATGGCAAGTGCTGAGAAGAAACGCCGGAACAAACTCAGTCACCACTTATTGCCAGGAATTATCTAACGGTAAGAATAGTCAAATTTAAGTACATNGGTCTATATTAAGTAAACATAAGCTATCAAAAATATTTAGTAGGTAATTAAACAAACATGTTTTGCTAAGTACCCGCTTGTGTCATAATAATAAAATGGGGAGTATAAATAGAAAAATATGTATGTGTAAATATTTTCATTTGCATGTGAACAAGTTCTTTTAATGTCAACACGGATATCGGCATCTAAATAGGCTACTAAATTAGCAATAAGACTAAATATCTTTATTTTGCATAATAATTACGAATATCACCTAAACGCGACGAGAAAGCCGATTAAATGAGGGCCGAAATTGATTGAGGTTGTAATATTTTACAAAATAAAACATACAAAAACTTTGAGTCCACCATCAAAGCGGGCGACTTCACTAAACGAATAATCGATTCAATTTTCGAAATTTCAATTCGATCGGAACTTGTTGTCGTTCATAATTATGACGTAATTATTGTTTTTTTCACGCAACCCTAAACGCGTCGCTCACCAAACTCATTATGGCCGGCAAAAAATCGCACGTTGGCCCCCCGCGGCGGCGACACGACGTCTTCGCTCAAAACACACCGCATTTACACATTGGTGGACAGTGTTTGTCAACTTTTGGGATGTTTACCCTTTAAAAGGTTCGAATCCTTATTCTTTGAAAGGTTTTTCGTCCTTCTTTTTTTTTTTTTTTTTTTTTTCCAAAACGAGGAAGCTCTTAGCCTGAATCTCCCTGATGGTAAGTGATGATCAGGCCGAAGGTCGAAGCGAGCTTCACTCGGAATCCTCAACCACGGAGGAACTGGCTAGCTTACCTCTAACTGACGGAACACAACAATGCTGTTAAACTTTGTTGTTATGGCGACAGACTTAGGTAAGAAGTCTTCTTCCTTAAAAGAAAAGAAAGCCTTCTTCCTTAAAAGATTTAAATTCTTCTATTTTAAGGTTTGAATCCTTCTTCATTGAAAAGGTTTGAATTCTTCTTCTTTAAAAAGTTTTAATTCTTCTTCTTTAGAAGGTTTGAATTCATCTTTTTTATGAGGTTTGAATCCTTTCCTCTTTAAAAGGTCTCGTAAAATTGCCTAGAACGTAGTGATGATGACTTTTAAATAATTTTGATATTGAACTCTACATTTTTGTTACGTTGTTACATATTATAGAAATAATCGAAATTAACTGTACTTGTATTTGTATCTTTAAATATAAGGCAGATTCATATCACAGCGTGCTGTAGAATACTTGTACTTACTCGTAGTTAACCAATATTTTTTTAAGTTACCTTATTACTGAAAATCTTCCTAGAATTTTCAATTTATTAAATTGCGTAGCAGTTCAAGGGTCCTTGTCAAAATTTCTATAAACTTTAATCTGAATGTTTACTGGGGTGTGGTGCCAGCATATACTTTGAGAACCTGTATCCACCCACTCATATCTATTAGAATCTAAGATATTATCGTTATGATTGAGATGGAGGCACGTATCTTGACATTTAAAGGGCCTAATTGGGAAATTCGCTACATTGACTTACAAATATGAAGTTATAGGCGCTACTGTTTTAAACATTAACATTTATGTCAAACTAGCTTTCCGCCCGCGGCTTCGCCCGCGTGGAATTTTGTCTGTCACAGAAAAACTTTATCGCGCGCGTCCCTGTTTCAAAAACCGGGATAAAAACTATCCTATGTTCTTTCCCGGGACTCAAACTATCTCTATGCCAAATTTCATCAAAATCGGTTGCGAGGTTTAAGCGGGAAAGCGTAACAGACAGACAGACAGACAGACAGACAGAGTTACTTTCGCATTTATAATATTAGTTGGGATGGGATTAAGTTGATGTTAGATAAACTCTTTGATGGAGAGCATATTTCATGGAACAAATACAATTTGAAACAGCTGATGATCGCTTTATAGCGATAAGACCGCCTAAATTGTGTATCTTCGGTATTTCTTTCTCTTTCTTTTCTTGTCTCGTGTGCTGTAAATTAAATTGTGTACCTTTCCTATTCCTTGTCTCGTGTGGTGTACAGCTGGTACTACAAAATATTATGTTCTATCTATCTATTATTATGCGTTTAACTGTCACTTAAAATTTAAGTCAGCTGTCATGGGCCGTGCGCCTGTAACTAAAAATGAAAAGTTAATTGTTTCAATTATTATTATTTAGTCTTATTAATTATGTATGACAAGTATTTCGGAAATGAAAATTTTAGTATTGTGAATGGAAATGATGAATTGGAAGATTTTATATTTTTTATTTTTGCCAATTCTGGCAAAAATAGAAATTAAAATAAAAACCAGTAGGTATGAATGAACCAGTTTGTGAAAAGTCTAAAAACACGTAATAGTTAATCAATAAAGAATTTTTCCTTGTAGTTGTTAAATGTATTACGTCAATTTGTCACGAAGTTGATTCGTCATTTCATACATTGAAAATAAATTCGTCCATAACGTTAATAAGGTTAATATATTAATATCTTTCAAAATTATGTACTACCACCATATTTGTATAAAAATACACATTAGTTTTAATGAAATTATTTATAAATTACAAAAAGTTAATTTTAGATAATAATGGAAATTAAATTACTTGGGCATAATTAGATACTTACCTATATTATGATCGTACAATGCTACTGGCCCTGTACCTATAAATAAATATCCTTGGACATTACACACAGCATTTAGTCACAAAATATACGAACTTGTTCACAAAATGAACAATATTACATAATAAATATTAATATTACCTACACAAATGAACGTTTAATTATTAAATAATAATATAACACAAATAAATATGTTTGTATTGAGTGGGGATTGAACCTGCTACCTCTAGCCAGTACCTTATGAGAACTACGAGGCCAGAGACTAATAAAAAACTCATAAAACTTATTTATTTTAGTGTCCGACCGAAACTAGTTTTACGACCGAAACCGAAACCGAAAACGAATTTCGGCATCGGTGTCTATTTCGGCCGAAACCGAAACCGAAACTTCCTTACAAGGCTCATATTTTAAGGGAAAAATAAAGAAAACGTTATTATAATCAGTCAGTCTTTATTGTTTTCTCTTTAAATTGCATTAAAATTGAACTTATAAAGTGCCTTTTCAACCGACTTCAAAAAAGGAGGAGGTTCTCAATTCGACCCGTATGTTTTTTTTTCTATGTTTGTTACGCGATAACTCCGCCAATTATGAACCGATTTGAACAAATCTTTTTTCGGCTTGTAGGTAATACCTCAAGGGTAGTCCCATTTAAATTTAATAATAGAAAAAACCACCCCCAAGGGTGGAAAATTGGGGATGAACTTTTTTATACGCAATATCTCCGCTGATTATAAATCAATTTGAACGATTATTTTTTTGTTGAATAGGTATTATCAAAAGGGTGGTTTCATGCGAATTTGAACAAAATATTTCACCCCCAAGGGTGGAAAATTGGGGATGAACTTTTTTATACGCAATATTTTTAATTTTTAGTTTTTTTTTGAGTTCACGCATTTGAAGTCGGTTTTTTTTTTTTAAGTTATTACTCTAAAAGGTATCAAATTATCTATTAAAAAAGAAAAAGAAGGATTTATAGTCTAGATTTTTTTTAATTACTCGCAATATTCAGGACATCTACATAACCCGTCCCATGATCGGGTCTTTTACCTTAATAATTTCTCAAAACAAAATTGGTAGTACGTAAGTTAGTATAGCTAATGTACTTGCCACTTGGATACCTTGGTGATAAATACTAAAATGAACTTTAAAACTCTGAATCCATAATATTATCACCATGAAATGCACTATAGTCATTACTAACTACTTAACTAATGTTTGTTTACGTATAGCATTTGCGAACCAAAAAAAAATTATAGGTTAGATTAAACTTCTTCATACTTTTATCAGTCATATTGAATAATTTTTTTTTGTTTACACCCGCTCTTATGTTATAACGACATAAAACGAGATAAAACTTACCAAATTCAAAATAAATCACTCGAATACTCGCCACCACAACAAAACAAAACTAACAGCAAACAAACAAGCGAGCGAATCACGACATTGGCTCTGATCGGATTCATTCACTCATACAACGCGCCGAACATGACCGATAACAGCGCGGAAACTCCCGAATGCACATTCGGTTTCGGTCGTAGTTTCGGCAAGTTTGCCGCCGAAAACGAAACTAAACCGAAACTCGTGTTTTTACCGAAACTCAACCGAAAACGAAACCGAAACCGAACATTCGGTCGGACACTATAAATCTGTAAATAGGCTTAAAAAAACACTTTTTCGCACTTTAAAAAAAACACTCTAATGCCCGTATTCACAAACGATGTTTGCACACGTTGGACGCCACGCGGCTCACCGGTGAGCCTCGAACAATACAATTTCCATTGTGTCT